TTTAGAGAGCGTTCAGGAGGGTGACCTCCTCTCTTCCATTGATCTCACTGAGGCTTACCTCCACATCCCAATTTGGCCTCATCATCGCCAGTTTCTCTTTCTGTTACCAGGATACCCATTACCAGTATTGAGCACTTCCCTTCAGCCTCTCATCGGCTCCAAGGGTCTTCACAAAGGTTCTGGCAGCATTGATGGCATCTCTGCGTTCTATTCCAGTGAGTATCCAATGCTACTTGGACAACATTTTGATTCTGTCCTCTTCCATCCATGCAGCCCATTGGGATCTGCAAATTACTCTGTCATATCTCCAGAGCCATGGATTTTCCATCAACACCAAAAAGAGCCAGCTCTCTCGCACCACCAAATTGCAACACTTGGGAGCAGTCATCGATACCATGTCGTGCCAGGTTTTCCTGTCCCCGGCTTGTGGAAAGAGCCTTGCAGAGATCATCAGCCAGATCCAGCAACATCAAACTGTCCCCCTGTCGCTGCTGTCCAAACTTCTGAGGAAGATGGTCTCCTGTATTGGCATCGTTCCGTGGGCTCGGCTCCACTCCCGACCCCTCCAATGGTTCCTGCTTCCCTACCAACGAGCAGGAACCAGCCACTCATCCATCAAGGTTCCGCTCCTGCCACAAATCTGGAGATCTCTCAATTGGTGGCATTCCCGGTCAATCTGGAAGGGACTCCTGTTCAGGGACCCAGACAGGCTAGTGATAACCACTGATGCCAGCCTCCTGGGTTGGGGTTCCCATATGCAGGGCCAGATAGCTCAGGGCGTTTGGTCCAGATCAGAGCAGACCCTTCCCATAAATTGGCTAGAGCTCAGAGCCATTTTCCTGGCTCTCAAGCATTTCAGGCAATCAGTGACTGGCTCTCATGTTCTAGTCCTTACAGACAACATAGCCGCAAAGGCTCATGTCAACTGGCAAGGGGGGACGAGATCCAAAGCCCTCATGAGAGAGTCTCTACAGTTGGGGTTATGGGCAGAGCAACACCTGTTGTTGATCTTGGCGAACCACATCTCCGGGGTTGACAACTCCCAGGCCGACTGGCTCAGCAGGAGCCTAGTCAACCAGGCAGAATGGTCCATTCCTCCATCTTTATTCAGGGACCTTTCCCTCAGATTTGGAACACCGGAGATGGATCTCTTCTCCACTCCTCAAAACGCCCAAGTCACCAGATTCTTCACCAGGTTTCCTTGCCAGGGAGCAGAGGGGACCAATGCTCTTCGGTGCAGATGGCCCAAGGGTCTCTTCTATGCCTTTCCCCCGCTTCCCATCATTCCGGCAGTAATTCGGAAGATGTTGGAGAATCGAGCGAAGCTCCTCTTCCTGGCACCCTATTGGGCAAGGAGGCCCTGGTTTGCGGACCTAGTCAATCTATCGGTGGCTTCTCCTTGGAGGATCCCAGCCCATCTAATCTCCCTTCACCAAGGGGCCCTGCTCCACCCAGAGCCCCAGTGGTTCAAGCTGACCATGTGGCACTGGAGCGGCAGCGGCTAGAGGAGGCTGATCTTCCAGAAAGGGTCATCCTCACTATCCTGGCATCTCGCAAACCTTCTACAAGGCGCATCTATGATGCCACCTGGAAGGCTTTTTCTCGATGGTGCCTCAGGGAGGGTCTTTCTCCTGCTTCAGCCCAGTTGGCAGAAGTTCTTAGCTTCCTTCAGCATGGGCTGGAGAAAGGTTTGGCTCCCAACACCTTACGCAGGCAGGTTGCGGCCCTCTCCTCGGTCCTTTCATGGGGTTCGCTTCCTTATCCCATCACCCTTCAGTCAGGAGGTTTTTGAAAGGGGCTTCCAACCTGCACCCTCCGGTGGTTCACAGGTATCCTTCCTGGGACATTCATATGGTCCTTAATGACCTTACAAAGCCCCCCTTTGAACCCCTTAGAACAGTGTCTCTCCGTTTCCTGAATCTGAAGGTAGTGTTCCTTGTTGCCATCACTTCTGCCAGGAGGGTTTCCGAGCTTGCTGCTCTTTCCATCAGACAGGACCTTTGTTCCTTTCATGGTAATAGGGTTGTTCTCCGTCTGGACCCCTCATTTATTCTGAAGGTTAACACCTGGTTTCACAGGTCCCAGGACATTGTTTTTCCTGACTTCTGTCCTCTCCCGCACCATGACCTAGAGCGGCAGTGGCACACACTAGACGTAAGAAGGGCTCTTAAAATATACATTGTGCACTTTCTCCTTCAGGAAGTTGGAAGCCATGTTTGTTTCCTTTTTCCCTTCTCACTTGGGGCACAAGGTCTCTTCTCCTACTATTAGCCGGTGGGTCAGGTCTTGCATTGAGCAGGCCTACAAAGCTGCGACCCTTCCGGTTCCCCGAGGTCTGACGGCGCACTCTACCAGAAGCGCGGCCACTTCTGCTGCCTGGGCGACCCAAGCATCCTTGGAGGAGATTATTTGTGCAGCTACGTGGACATCCCCGTCTCCTTTCATCAGACACTACCGTCTGGATGCCTTTGTCTCGGCGACTGCAGCCTTCGGCAGACGGGTGCTTCAACAGTGGTTCCACAGTCGGTGTAATGAGCCGGACGAGGACCTGCCCGGGGACATGCAAGCTTTGGTATGTCCCATCCTGGGCTCTCGATGCAGCATGGAGGAGAATGGGCGTTGGTAGAAGTTACAGTGAACGCCCTTTCTATCTATGCTGCAAGAGAGCCCAGCCCCTCCCTTGATTCGTCCAGAGAGGGTAAGACATATTTCTGTATTTATTTTGGGCTTTCAGAGACACCTTTCAGTCTGTCAAGTATCTTCGCCAAAGCTGGGGTCTCTCCAGGGAGCTGGCTTTTTTATCTTAGTACAGACTCAGCTAAATGACGTCATAGGAAGGAGTCAACCCATCCTGGGCTCTCTTGCAGCATAGATAGAAAGGGCATTCACGGTAACTTCTACCAACGCCCATTTTTGGTTGACCAAGCAAATTTTTGCACCTTTTGATGATGTTGCCCAAATAGGATGTATAAATAGGATCAAGCATAATATACACTGCTCAAAAAAAATAAAGGGAACACTTAAACAACACAATGTAACTCCAAGTCAATCACACTTCTGTGAAATCAAACTGTCCACTTAGGTAGCAACACTGATTGACAATCAATTTCACATGCTGTTGTGCAAATGGAATAGACAAGAGGTGGAAAGCAGAGGAAGTTAGCAAGACATCCCCAATAAAGGAGTGGTTCTGCAGGTGGTGACCACAGACCACTTCTCAGTTCCTATGCTTTCTAGCTGATGGTTTGGTCACTTTTGAATGATGGCGGTGCTGTCACTCTAGTGGTAGCATGAGACGGAGTCTACAACCCACACAAGTGGCTCAGGTAGTGCAGCTCATCCAGGATGGCACATCAATGCGAGCTGTGGCAAGAAGGTTTGCTGTGTCTGTCAGCGTAGTGTCCAGAGCATGGAGGTGCTACCAGGAGACAGGCCAGTACATCAGGAGACATGGAGGAGGCCGTAGGAGGGCAACAACCCAGCATCAGGACCGCTACCTCTGCCTTTGTGCAAGGAGGGACAGGAGGAGCACTGCCAGAGCCCTGCAAAATGACCTCCAACAGGCCACAAATGTGCATGTGGCTGCTCAAACAGACAGAAACAGACTCCATGAGGGTGGTATGAGGGCCCGATGTCCACAGGTGGGGGTTGTGCTTACAGCCCAACACCATGCAGGATGTTTGGCATTTGCCAGAGAACACCAAGATTGGCAAATTCGCCACTGGCACCCTGTGCTCTTCACAGATAAAAGCAGGTTCACACTGAGCACATGTGACAGATGTGACAGGGTCTGGAGACGCCGTGGAGAATGTTCTGCTGCCTGCAACATCCTCCAGCATGGCCGGTTTGGCAGTGGGTCAGTAATGGTGTGGGGTGGCATTTCTTTAGAGGGCCGCACAGCCCTCCATGTGCTCTCCAGAGGTAGCCTGACTGCCATTAGGTACCGAGATGAGATCATCAGTCCCCTTGTGAGACCATATACTGGTGCGGTTGGCCCTGGGTTCCTCCTAATGCAAGACAATGCAGCTCATGTGGCTGGAGTGTGTCAGCAGTTTCTGCAAGACAAAGGCATTGATGCTATGGACTGGCCCGCCCGTTCCCCAGACCTGAATCCAATTGAGCACATCTGGGACATCATGTCTCGCTCCATCCACCAATGCCACGTTACACCACAGACTGTCCAGGAGTTGGGAAATGCTTTAGTCCAGGTGTGGGAGGAGATCCCTCAGGAGACCATCCGCCACCTCATCAGGAGCATGCCCAGGCATTGTAGGGAGGTCATACAGGCATGTGGAGGCCACACACACTACTGAGCCTTATTTTGACTTGTTTTAAGGACATGACATCAAAGTTGGATCAGCCTGTAGTGTTTTTTTCCACTTTAATTTTGAGTGTAACTCCAAATCCAGACCTCCATGGGTTGCTAAATTTGATTTCCATTGATAATTTTTATGTGATTTTTTTTCAGCACATTCAACTATGTAAAGTATTTCATTCATTCAGATCTAGGATGTCTTATATTTGTGTTCCCTTTATTTTTTTGAGCAGTGTACAATGGAACTGTTGCTGATAATTCTAGGGATTTGTAGGTGACTGCTTTATGTTTTATGCTTTTTGTTGTTTTATTTATCACTATCAAATGTATCTGTTCAAGTTGTGTCTTATATGAACACAGAAAATCCCAAACTGTATCAGTATCCCAGATTGCAGAAACATGTTTGCAAACTTTAAAACCATTTATCCTGTCTTCCTAGATCTCCCTTCACAAATATGTGAAAATAATACAAGGAATAATACTATGGATGCTATTGGATTGACATGGTTTCGTCATATTTTATATTATAGGAGAATTTGCTATTTATATTTATTTAGTAATTTGGGGGAGGGGGTAAGTAAGTTCAGCTTCTTAATTAGAAATGTTATATATGAGATGTGGGAATTAGTTTTATTTTATAGTTTTAATCATTCTTATAAAAAAGATTTTATTTGCTTTTTTCCAGAGGAAATAAAAACAGAAACTGGAAAACAAAGGTAATTTTGTTCATATTAAGTATGAATACTTAAGTTTGTGAGATCATTATAAGCACAAATATCTGACTCTATATGGAGATTAAATCTGTTCATTCAATTTTTTAGGGAAAAGGACTGATAAACAACACTTTTTTTAGCACTTTATCATGTCTGAAATTCAGAAACTTCATGAGACATCCTGGCCTAGTTCATACATAAACATTTATCCATAATATGATTTTTCTGCTTTGGTATGATATGCATGCAAACCAATAATAAGTTAGATTCTATGGCTTATTTTACAAACCATGGTAAAAAGTCCTGGGTTAGTTTATATATTAATGTTGTATAAGTTAATTGAAACTCTCTGGTTTTGTAAAAACAAAGGAGAAATTTGCAAAAAAAAATATTAAAATTTCATAGTATATAATTTGTAATAGCTTTGGCTTCAAATTAGTTCAGAAAAATGATCAAGTATGTCATCTCTGAATTTCCCAGTTAAGAAGCACAAAATCTTTGAACTGTTTGCATTTTTGTATATAAAAAAATGAAGAATGGTTAAAAAGAAAGGAAAGCTGTAACCGTTTCCCATCTAGCCATCAGTATATCATCTGAGAAAGCAGATAATTTTTTAAAGGATCTCTCTAATGAAGGGAATCCTCTGTTGTCCTGATTCATTTCTTTCCTTTGTAAAGTTATTAAGACAGATGAGTCTCCTAATGCCTGTAGATGCTGATCATCATAAAAATCATTATTTTTACAGTGAGCTAATTGTTCCATCCCATTCATATTTACATGTTTCTTGAACATATGAATCTGCAATCTACTTTTTAAAGAGGATTTGTTATTTATTAATTTTGTACTAGGTCATAATTATTAAGAAACACACATTTAATTCTATGTTAAAAGATATTTGTATAAAAGTCATAGCATTTATTTTGCTTTATCAGGATTCCAAAAACAGAAGATCTACTTCATTCACATCATTCAGTAGAACAAGTCAGCTATGTAAATTAAGTATGATTTGAAGTATCAGTTTTAATGATAAATGTTTTACAATTTAAATATACAACTAAAGATAAAGCAAGTATATAATAATAGCCCTAGCTATTTCTGAATTCATATTTAACTCATTTATTTTACTGCCATTTTATATAGTCCACCTCATGGAGAAGCAAAACCTGGCTCAAGCACTCTTCCACCAGTGAAATCAAAGACTAACTTTATTGAAGCAGACAAGTACTTCTTACCATTTGAATTGGCATGTCAATCCAAGTGTCCCAGAATTGTTAGTACATCATTAGATTGTTTGCAGGTCTGTATGTATCTATATTTCCTGAAATATATGCTACTATTGCCTACTTTTAGTGTTCTTTTTTTAAGGAATGTTTTTTTCTTGATTGATTTTATCCAATTATCAATGTAAAAAATCTGATTTAAATATTTTATAAAAATTAAATCTGATCAAAATGAGATTTTTTTTTAAACTTATGAATTGAGTGGTATAATTGGGATCTGTAAAGGTTATGGTCTAGTTCAGTGATGGCTAACCTTTTTGGCACCAAGTGCCCAAAGAGTGTGCATGTGCGCACATCCCCAAAATCACCCACGCATGTGCCCCACCCCCTGTGCATGCAACCCCCATGCATGTGCCCCTTACCCCGTGCATGCACGTGCATCCCCACATTTGTATGTGCATCCCCATGCATGTGCAACAGAGACCCACAGACCAGCTGGCCAGTGGGAAGCGCATGCACGGCAAAGCTGAGCTGGGACGACAGCTCACATACTCACAGAGAGGGCTCTGTGTGCCACCTCTGGCCATGCCATAAGTTCATCATCACGGGTCTAGTTCATGGTGAAACACTACTATTAAGTGTTGTGAACCACAACACTTTTTTCCCATTATCATAGTGACTTTATGATTTTTTTACTTTCCTGTTATGTAAAAAAAATCAGATAAATTATTACTGTTAATCATAATTTTGTTTTCCAGCTGGTCATGGAAACCCATTTCAAGCTAATATCCAAATCATTAATAAGCCATAGTTGAATTGTCAGAAAAAGGCAATCACTGTGAACTGGGGAGAAGAAAGTACCCCAAGATCTTATTTATTTAAGAAAATTTATATGGCCTCCGAACTCACTCTCAGTAACTCTGGGCAGCTTACAAGGATAAAATACAAACAATAGAGAAAAAAATACCCCTCCACCACAACAATCAAACGAGCCACTTGATGGGCTCCATATCATTCTGGGGTCCCCATGCCCATTGCAAGGACCATGTCTTCAGGGCCTTGTGAAAATGTATCCAAATGTATCTAATCCTTTCTTTGCAAGAATAAAGATAAAGGATGGTTGTTCATTGTTGTTTACTTGCTTTATTCCCAGAAACTTATAGCCTATGGGCATTTGACTGGTAATGCTCCAGATAGCACTGCTCCTGGGAAAAAGTTGATTGATAGAATTATTGAAACAATATGTGGCTGCTTTCAAGGTCCACAGACAGATGAAGGTGTTCAACTACAAATTATAAAGGTAAGGTTAAAATTATTGATAAATAATTATATTTTACTGAATGTGAAAAGTTTTCCATGGTTTTGTTTTATTTTTCAAAAACAGTTTACAGTGAACAGAAATTATGAGTATAGAAGATATCAGTATTTTCTATTGAGTTATAGACTCATAGAGTATTCATCTATATCATACATAGAATGTATTCACATATTGAATATAAACTAGCAGAAAGTTTGCTGTCCAACATTCCCTGAGAAACAGACTCAAATAAACAAAAATATATTTTTTCTAAAACCAGACAATTTTTAAGTCATAAGCAATATATCTTTTTAACTTTAACCCATTGAGTATTATAGAATACTCCACGATTTCAAATTGCTTGGATATTATCCAATTTTTTTCCAAGTATTTTTTTTTTTTACTATATAAAGAAAGAGCAACAATTTCAATGTCTATGTAAACAGTGTGTTGTCTGGTTACAATTAGTTTGAGCAATCATCATCATAATGTTCATTAGTAGTGATCATATAATAATTGTAGTTTCTCAACATGCTGTTAATACTTAATACAAAATCTTATTGATAATACCCATATAATAAACCCTCATGGTAAAATTAATCCTTCGCTTATCATTTTAAATATTCTAACTTCTGTTTCTGTTATTTAACCATAAATAAAATGAATCCCATGTTTCAAAATATTCCATATCTTCCTTCTCTTTAATTTCAAGTGTTAATCTATCCATTTCTGCACATTCTAGGTTTTTTTTTTTACTACCTTCTCATCTGTGAGGATCTCCACACCTTTCCAATGATGTGCAAATACAATTCTGGCTTCTATTAACACATGTAATATTAAATACATAGTCCCTTTATTATATTTTTCTGATATGATATCCAACAGAAATATTTCTGGTTTTAAATCTACATGTTCCTTTATCATTGTTTCTATCCAAGTATGTATTTTTTTTGTTTTTGCTTTTGGGCATGTCCACCACATGTAGTAGTATGAGTCTGGAGTCTGATTACACTTCCAATATTTAGTTGACATTTCTTTATACATCTTGGCTAATCTTGCTTGTGGAAAGTACCATCTGTAGAACGTTTTATATAAATTTTCTTTGTATGCAGTAGACATTGATAGTTTATAATTTTGATCCCACAACTTTTGCCATTTATCCAATTCTATAGAATAACCAGTTTTTAACCCACACTACCATTGTTTCTTTAACTTGCTCTTCTTCCATTCTAATACTCAATAGGTAAGTATAATTTTTTAAATTAATTTCTCATCAGTTCCTGTTAGAATCTAGTCCAATTCTGTTGGTTCTTTATAAAATATAATTTTTCCCCAAATTTATTTTTGATTTTTTTTAAATTGATGATAAGAAATTATTGATTTAGTTTCCATAAAAACAATCTCTCAAAACTTTAAAACTGGTGTTTCTGACGCTGTACAGGGATAGCTGCTGAATAAAGAGAGATAACATGTTAACTGTTTGTACTGCCATTCAGCCTTTCTAAGTAAGTTATATTCCATTTATAGAATTTTGACAATATTATAAATATTTATAGTACTGATTCTGTTATGAGACCATGTTTTCCATGTTTGTGATTTTTTTTTAAAAAAAAATTTATAACACCGATCAGCTCTTTTAGGCGGCAGGGATCGCCATTGCCGCATTCATCTTTCGCCATTTGGCAGCGATGATAGGTGGTGAATGGCAGTGATAGGTGCTGATAGGCAGTGGCGGGGATCTCCGTCGCTTAGAACAGCTGATTGGAGTTATTCTGGGAGGCTGATCCAACTGCCAATCACCTGCTCTGCAGTGAAGGCTCCCAGTGTTCCCCAGCAGTGGTAGCTCAGCTCAGTTGACTGGTGGTGGGCACAATGGAGCAGAGCCTAACAAGCCACGTGCTGGTGCTGCGATAATGTGCTGAAGCTGACCAGGCTGTTTGCTGTTTGCTGCAAGGACGCTAGTTAGATGAATACTGGATGGATGCTGGGAGGCAGAGGCAGATATTTTGTTTCTTGTTTTCCTGTCCAAAAGCTAGGTGCATCTTAAGCGTCTTATAGTGCAAAACATACAGTATATGGCTCACCATTTACAAAGTATATTCATGAATTGAGCATGTGCCAATTATACGTAAAAGAACTGGGAGTTATATATATACACAAGATTTCTAAATAAATAACTGCAGGTCTAACTTTGTAAATAAATGTAATGTATTTTAGGCTCTATTAACAGCAGTAACATCTCAACACATAGAGATACATGAAGGGACTGTGTTGCAAGCTGTGAGAACATGCTACAATATTTATCTTGCAAGCAAGAATCTCATAAATCAAACCACAGCCAAGGCCACTCTCACACAAATGTTGAATGTAATATTTGCACGCATGGAAAACCAAGCGGTAAGTTTCTTTGTACATGTATAAAGAGTTGTTCCAAAAATGTCTTTCAGCTCTAGGAATAGCAAACATTTACATTTGTTTGCCAATTGAATTGTACAAGAGGTATAAGGGAAAAATGTTCCAATTCTGAAATATCCCATTCCAACCTTACTAGGTGTAGTAGGGCTTGTTTTGGAACAAGCCTTCCAAAACCACTGGAAATCATTTGACCAAATATAAGAAGTTCAATCTTACCATATGTGCTCTGACTTTTGGCTTTGACCTTAAAATAACTGAATACCCATTTGTCAGACATTACTTGTTTCATCTAAAAATCATTGAGTAGCAGTAGCTCTTAGATAGTGCTTTTACAACACTCTCTGGGTCGTTTACAATGTCAGCATATTGCTTCCAACAATCTGAGTCCTCATTTTACCAACCTCGGAATGATGGAAGACTGAGTCAATACTTGAGCCCATCAGGATTAAACTTCAGGCTGTGGGCAGAGTTAGCCTGCAATACTGCATTCTAACCACTGCACCACCAGAATCAGTAAAGGACTGGGCCTGAGGATGTGGACAGGGTCATATGGCTGTGAGGTCAGTAACCTCCTCCTTAGATCTATGCCCCTCCCAACTAGCAAAGGTTTGAGGTGGTTGGGTTCTAGCAGTGGTGAGTCTTTCCTTGAAAGATGGGGTTCTTCCACTGTTTAAGAAGGCACTGTTTCACTCCCTCAGGCCATTGCTGGATCCCATCATACTGAACAATTTTCATCCAGTGTCAATGGTCATACAATAGCTTCTGTGAATCCTAGATGAAGCTGATTATTTGGATCCCTTTTAGTCAGGATTTAGATCTAGATATAGGCAGAAAAGGAATTGGCCATGCTTTTTGGATAACCAGGATGGGATTGGTGCATTCATTCTTGTTCTACTTGATGTCTCAGCAGCCTTCAATATTATCAATCATGGTATCCTTCTGGATTGACTCTGTAGAGTGGGAGTCAACAATACTGCATTGTGCTGGTTCCCTTCCTTACTGTGGGGCTGGTACTGGTGTTGATTGAGAGTGAGATATCCTATTCTCAACTCAAGCTATGTGAGGTCCTGCAGTGCTTGGAATGCTTTACACTCTTGTTTAATATCAACATCAAGCCTTTAGATGAGATCATCCTCCACATGGAGTGAAGTATCACGAGTACACTCAGTTGTACATCTCCACCCCTGGTAAACTAAGGAATGCTGTTGATGTCCTGTCTTAATGCCTGGAGGCTGCAGGGGTTCGTATGGGAAGATTTAAAACTTTACATGGCTTTTGGGCCAGGTTATTTGAGGGACCATTTCTTCCTGATTTCATCTACCCATAACAATCAGGAAAGATATGTTATAGTCCCACCTGCTAAGGAGTTCCATCTTACAGAACCCAAAAGCAAGTCTTTTCTGCTGTAGCACCTATCATTTGGAACATCATTCACCCTAAAATGAGATTTAGTCCCAAACTTCCGGAGACCTCTTAAGACATTTTTTCCAATAGATCTGGGTATCCCTTGGGAACAAGGAGCCTGCAAGAAGCCTTTATTATATATAAGTTTTTGCATATTCCCTTATGTTATATTCATATTTTTATGGTTATTTTAAAATGTTTTTATTATTTTGTTTTTGCTATACACAACCCAGACTCTCATTCATGAGATGGGTGGCTAGATAGTCAGATACATAGATAGTTAAAAGATCTATTATTTTGTAATTAAATATATGGATAATTAATAGTCTGCATATGCTTGGACTATGTGAAAAAATTAAAAAAAATCCAAACTTACATCACACATGAAGTTTTTAAGAGAAAGGACTTCTCATTTTCCAAATAGTATATTGAGAATTGTGATCATAAAGTGGCTAAATTTGGTCAAAAACTGAATTGTATTTAATTAAGATGATTAAAAGATTCTAATGAGCATTCTTCACATTTAAAAAAAAACTCTGCATCACAATAAATTTCAGCTCTGTGCCAACTTTTGAAGGGCTCCAAGTGTACAAAATAATATCATGTATGTTAAATATAACATGTATTCATTAATGCTTTATTTTTCATATAAATAAATACAAATTATAGCTTCAAGAAGCCAAGCAAATGGAGAAAGAGAGACATCGACAACAGTATCACCTGCAGCAATCTCCTTTAAGCCATAATGAGCCTGAATCACCTCAATTAAGGCATCTTTCAGAGGAGACTGTTGATCAATTATCCCAGGACCATTTGGAGCATCATACAAATGATGTGGACAAAAGCCTTCAAGAAGATACAGAAGGAGAAAATGGGTCTGATATTTCTAGTGCAGAAAATGAACAGACAGAAGCTGATCAAGCAACAGTAGCAGAAAGTAATAATGATTAATCAGAATGGGCTGGTAGAGGGCATCTTATTGTCAAATTATCTTAAACTGGAGGTGTTTTCCCAGTTAGGAATTTTGCTTTCTACTTGTTTGTTGTTTTTGAAGTTCGAGGTGATATACCCTATGATGTCTCTGGAGAAAGGGCACAGGCAATTTTAATTAGTAAAATGGAAGCTTTTTAGAGGTTTACCAATACTATTTTGCATTAAATGCCAATATGTATGTTGCTGAAAATTGGCAGATTTGCTTTATATTTTACTACTGCTATTTTGAGGTATTCTGGGTGCTTCAAGGTGCTACAAAAAACTGAGCTGGGAGGAACTAATGTCACATTGAGTTGCCATTTTTCTATAAAAGGTTCATTTGGTTAAAAACTATACACAGTTATCAGCAGGCTTTAATATTATAGTTATGATTATCTTTTTTATAAACTTACAAACTTTGTAGTAATGTCATATTGCTTTTTAAAATGTATTTGCTAAAAGCTCAGATATAGTAAATCTTATGAACAATCATAAAAACGTATTTAGATAACATTTATAGTTTGGAAATATGTTGACCAGACTGGATTCCTGAAAATTTTAAATAATATATTTGTTTTTCTTTTGTAGCTCTCACTAAAAATGATGCAGGGTCATATGATGGAGAAAGTAACCAATGTGAAGAAACAGCTCAGGATGTTGTACAGAGTATAGTCCAGGAAATGGTCAACATAGTAGTAAGAGGTAATATACTTTCATCAAACCATTTTGCTGATTTGAGGTAAAAATTAAAGGAATTTTATAGGAGGACTTGATAGTCAAGTTTTGTATGTACTAATATGGGAAAAATATTAGATAAAACAATAATTTTATGGTTATTTTTTAAAAAGTAAAATAGAAACGGATTGGGCTGTTTTCAACCTGCAGAAGCAGACAATTCAGAGAGCTGTAAGAGGATCACTGTTCACTTTTCACTAGAAGGTCACTGAATTCTTTTCTCTTGAAGAAAGAGAATGGGGAGACTAAGGGCTTTTTTTCCCTAGAGAAAGACATGAAGATAATGGCTACAGAGTAAACCTGGATTTATTATTTGTTTAAAGTTAATACAAATTTTGATAAAACTTATATAAGATATTAAAATCAGCCTCGAGAGTTGCTGTTAGTTTATTTACTGATTCCTGAAACATTGATGATACAGTAAAATTAAGAAATACAGTTGAAACTGGTAACAGACCTTTATAAACTTAAATTAAAGGGAAGTTGAATAGTGCTTAAGCAAATGAGGCATCCTGGTCTGAGTTAACAGGATTTGAGAATTTGCTACCTTTTTTAATTCCAGGCTTTTCTTTTATGTGTAAGCCATTTCACAACTGTTTCTGTTCTAAAATAATTACAGTAGACAGACAGACAGACAGACAGACAGACAGACACACACACACACACACACACACACACAGGCTCAAGATAAAGCTAAAAAATAAGTATTTATTGTAAAACCCTATAACTAATTTACAAATTGATTGTGAATCACTCAATGAACATTATAAAATAGTCCTAGACAATTCATCTTGTTATCCCACATAGAGCTAAATATATTTCGATTCAGATCATAATGGTTCTGTTGTGAGTTACTTAGTAAACAATCATGATGTAGAATGTTAATCATACAGTATTTACACTAATTTTTAAAGAAATGCTGAACAAATGTTGGTATGGCATCAAGAATAGCACATTGGTAATACTCAGAACTCATTTGTGGCAATATGTTTTGAGTTGGTTTTTTGTGTAATATATAACTAATTACTTTTAAATGCCATAATTTTACTGTATGTCATAATTCTTTTTTTCTTTTAGATATAGGTGAGAGATTTACTGAAAAGATTGTGGTTGATGGACCAATAGGTACTTTAGAGGATGGTAGTGATAGTGAAAATATCCAGGCAAATGGAATTCCTGGGACACCTATTTCTGTTGTGTATACACCATCATTACCTGATGACAGGTTATCTGTCTCTTCCAATGATACTCAGGTACAAGAATGAATGATTATGTTTTGAAAATATGGCAAGCTATGGTTTTAAACTGATTTGGGGGATATTTACAGCCAACTGATGCATCTTTAGTATCTTTAGTACAGGTGCTTTGATTCAGAATTATGTGAATCAATAAGAAGTATAGGGCACAGATAATTTATATGCTGTAAGCCAGTATTATATATGATGTTGTTGCAAAATAGTACAGTTTTAATATTTTTTCCATTTTGACACTAATGTCAAAAGATTCATGTGCATGAACGAACAACATTTGTTCCTTAAGCCATTTCTGTACTTTTACAACTTACTTTGTGGTCTACATATGGATTTAAAGTTCTATATGAAATTCATTGCTGCTTCCTAATTTAAAAACATATATTCCAAGTGTATATATTTAGTAGGGTTTCTCTTTCCTTTCAGTTGTTTTGTTAGTGTGTGGTAAACTAATGATGTTTTTATTGGAGCTAATGTCTTTTACACTAGTAACTGGCAAACATTTGCTTTTACAATTGTTTGGCACATGTGAATACAATGCTAACATTGCATACAATGCATTCATTATATTGTTTGCAGACTTGGTATTCTTCCGATTAAAATTGGAATTCCGATTTTTTGGGGAATCGCCCCCCCCACACCCTTTCCCCCCCTTCTCCTCCTTCCCCTCCCCTCGGAGGCCCCCTGAGTCAGGAGTTGCTACCGCTAGCGCGGCTCAGCGTGGCTCCAGTCCCGCGTTGCCTCGGGAAGGGAAAGGCCAAAAGGAAGAGCTGTGGCGGCGCTTTGCAACAGCAGCAGCGGCACTGGAGGCTCAGGCGCAGCAGCTCCTGGTTTTGCCTTTCCCTTCCCGAGGCAATGCGGGACTGGAGCCGCACGGAGCCGCGCCGGCAGTAGCAACTCCTGACAGGCCCAGCCGGACACCTGAGCAGAGCCCAGGCGGTGCAAGTGGAGGCCGCTGAGCGGCAGGAAAAGGGAGCTGGGCAGCCACAGACCAGCTGTCTCTCCGTCTGACGGCCTCGGCCGAATCTCTGCCTCCCAGCGCGCTTGCTCCTCCACCCGCAGGCTTCCCCAGCCCCTTGCCAAGCAGGTTTTCCACCCCAGCCCGGCAGGGCCCTCGCTGCCTTCCCCTCGGCTGGCTGGCCGGGCTCCTTGGGCAACTCGGCTGCCTCGTGCCGAGAAGTGCACTGCCAGGCGGGGGCCATGCGGCGCAGGGCAACACACCACCGCCCGGCCCTGGTGAGGGAAAGCAGCGGGCGCTCCCCGGGCGGTGGCCGCGGCCCCACCACCAGGGAAGCGGCTACCCAGCTCCGGAACTGAACCACACCTGACCGGCTGGAAAGGAAGGGTGTGTAGTGTTGGTGTTGTGTGTGCGATTTCTTGGTGCGCGGCATGGGGTCTCTTTTGGCCAGCCCTGATTTTTTTTTCAGAGGGGAATATCATGCCTGTGTTTGAAAATCTATTCTTATTTTGCAAGTATATAATTTCTAAAATAAATATTATATCAGTAAATTACCAATATGACCAATGCTTGATGTTCAGGGTCATGTTAGGATACGTAATTATCACATTTCTTCCTAGAACAGATTTAGCACTAGCACAGTTGGCAAGCAGAATGGTGCCTTGGGAAATGCTCATTCTATTCTTATAACAGATTTATTTTAATAAATGACTGAGTAGTTTGAAAATCAGTTCTTGACATGCATGGTTACCTTCATCAGTTGCATATGTTTGTGGAATGAATTAAAGAAATAAGCATTAGTATACATGAATGCATTACTTAGATAAACATACAATGTAAAAAAAAGGAAAATGCATAGTGGAATTGCAGTAAAATGGAAGAGATACAGCATATGACAAATATGCTGAAACTTAAATATATATAGAAAAATTAACACTTGAACTATTGTAAAATAGTAATAGTGATAAGTATCCTAGCATTACTGAGATTTTTTCTGTATTAAATGTGATCATCAAGGCTATCTAAAGTGGTTTTTAATTTTTTTTATTTAAATTGTGAACTGAAATGAGTTGAAAATAATCTAAGGTGTTTTTGTTTGTTTTTTAAATGAAAATTAAAAACCTGGGATCATTTTCAATTTGTTTCAAGTCATGAAGAAAGGGTTTGTTAATTACTGGAAATGTTAATCCCAGATTAGTTGTGTTTTTAAGAAAAGAGTAAAAAGAAGTCTGTGAAGTAGAAGATGATATAATTGCAAGACTAATTTGTGGTTTGTTAAATTCAGGGCTTTGGAAGCCATAATAATTTCTGTCTGATCATTAGTATATAAATATGTGGTGCTGAGTAGTTTTAACAAAATAACTAAAATATTAAACTTGCAGTTATAGGAGAATGCTTATTTTTTAAAGTTAAATGTTAAGTAATAATGATTTCTAGAAATATATATTTATACCTTAGTCCATATAGGTTAAGGCAGTCTATAAATACTTTTAATCAAAGTTTCAGTGGAATTTTGTGTACCCTGTTTTTTCTCATGTAAAATAATTACATTGTATTTTTATTATATTAAATGAAAATATTTTAACTTCAGGAATCTGGAAATTCTTCAGGACCTACACCTGGTGCTAAATTTTCCCATATTTTACAAAAGGATGCCTTTCTAGTATTCAGGTCACTGTGTAAACTATCTATGAAGCCTTTGTCAGATGGACCACCTGATCCAAAGTAAGTTGGCACCATTTTTTCTATGAAATATTCAAGAAATAAAAGTGTAAATCAGCAGTAGTTATAGCCTGTTGATTCTTCTCCCATTCCAATGTAGTACAATATATTGTTATGGAATGTTGTCCTTGTAGGGTCCATGGTACTTTCAGAGAGTTTAACCCTGAGTTACAAATATTCTCTTCCATTAATGTATTTTATACAATTATTTAAAAAAGGATTGTTCTTGACACCTAGGATATATGAATAAATCAGCTATATTATATTAAGTTGATATTTTATACACAAACTACATTATGCGCTACAGCAACAAACACAAGAATATCAATCTAAGCTAAGTCAGTCATAGTTTGTTTAGTTAATTTCTGTTAATTGAATATTTATTATCTGCTCTTTACCAATGGTTAGAGAAATTGGAATAATTATTTTTTCTTTTTCTTTCTTAACAAGAGAGATGTCTCCGTAAATTGTTTCTCATACTAAGATTATATCTTTCTAGGTCGCATGAATTGCGGTCAAAAATCCTTTCACTGCAGTTGCTCCTATCTATTTTGCAAAATGCAGGACCTGTTTTTAGGACAAATGAAATGTTTATTAATGCTATTAAGCAGTACCTTTGTGTAGCATTGTCTAAAAATGGAGTTTCATCTGTTCCAGAAGTATTTGAACTTTCCCTTTCTATATTCCTGACTTTACTTTCAAATTTTAAGACACATTTGAAGATGCAAATTGAGGTAATGTACATTTAGTAATTTAAAGAGTGTACTTATTATACTATAAACTGATGCAATTGAAAGACTTGAAGTATAAAACACGTAAGAACATCTAATCTAGTTTCATTTGATTGGACTTGTTTGCATTCAAAATATTATCCTGAATCAATAATAAATAATATAAATTGTTCAGAAATTATTATTATAAGAACAATAAACTATAGCATTAAATAAATAGATACGTTATCATTCAGATACTACTCAGAATGAAGCATTATTCTGCTCCTTCTTCTGACATTTTGAATTTAAATTTCTTATATACAGATCAGTATATCTTGTATTATTGGCCTACTTACACATATTAGATTATATGGATCTAATATATGTGCTCTGGGGTACCTAAATGGTAATTTCTTTGTAGAAATCTGTGTAAATTGAAAATCCAACATAGGAATGTTAGAAGAGGCCATTTGTTACTATGTTTTCCTTTTTTTAAAAAAATGATGCAGTTCTAAACGATAAAATGAAACATTTTGTAATCTGTGTTTTATTTCTGGAGAAAGTGAGATACAAATATAAATAATTAAAAATGGTAAAGCACTTGCCATTAGGCACCCCAGATACAGTAATGTATCTTCAGTTACGTAGCAGGTTGTGCATTAAATTTCTTTAGCAGCGGTAATGATAGAAGAATGCCAGATTTTGATTTTGTGAATATATTCTAAAAGCAAAATATGTTTGGAACTTTTGAATATTTGAAAAAGTCATGAAGAGGATTGATGAAATGTCTTGAGTCTTAAATCACAATTTCTTATTTAGCATAGTAAGTTGTTTTGAAATTCTTAATTCAATTCAATTCAACTTAAAAAAGTTCTTAATTCAATTTATGACATAAGTGATTTATTTATGTGTCTAACTTTCAGAGGTGTGCAAGGTTTTCTACATATTTCTAAGTAGTTCTTTAGAGTCCAGCCAAGAAACACAGATAATTGACCCTAAAATTTTTATATTGATTTGTCCACCGCCCAGAAAACTATTAAAAGTTGTTTTAGGCTTATTTTTGTAGGCTTATATTCAGTGTATCTTCTTCAGTTTTGTTTAGCAAGACATCCAAATCAATTGAACAGAATTTAAATGCATTAGATATTTAAGTAAATCAAATTACCATTTCAAATCAGATGCTGTGTGCTCAATGGCCATGTTTAATCACAAGTTTCTTTAGGAATCATTTATTTAATTCAAAATATATCTTTACCATGCATGGTTTATTACTTTGATAGAATAATTTTCATTGTACATAATTGTAAAGCGAGGAAATTTAAATAGCAATTTACATTTTCCTCAGGAAAAATAGCATAAAGATCTGGTGTTGGAGCCTGCTTGGGGGTAGGGGGGAGGTCACAGGGTAAGGCTCATAGGTAGTTTTCTATACTGTATATCTGATATTGGTTTATAATGAAAAGTATAGAAGGCAGTAATTTTTCAAATAAGCAGATGACATCTCTATTTTTCCTAGGTTTTCTTCAAAGAGATTTTTCTATATATTTTAGAAACTTCCACTAGCTCCTTTGATCATAAATGGATGGTTATTCAAACATTGACGCGGATATGCGCAGGTATTACTCCATTGGGCGTGTTATAGACTTTAACATAACTGTTGAGATATTTTGCTTGCTTGAAGGTTTTCACTATTATACTTATTTCTGTACTCGATAAAAGCATTTCAATGTCAATTCTATTTTCTTTACAGATGCTCAGAGTGTAGTAGACATTTATGTAAATTATGACTGTGATTTAAATGCTGCAAATATTTTTGAAAGACTAGTTAATGATCTATCTAAGATTGCTCAAGGAAGAGGCAGCCAAGAACTTGGCATGACCAGCATTCAGGTAAGAACCATGCCATATTTTTCAATTCTAAAAATTAATAATGATTACAAATTACCAACAAGCTTAATGTTTTTATACACACAACCTCTTACAGGAATTAAGTTTGAGAAAGAAGGGTCTTGAATGTTTAGTATCAATACTGAAGTGCATGGTGGAATGGAGTAAGGATCAATATGTAAATCCCAACTCCCAAACAACCTTAGGTAAATTATTACTTTATTTATTATAATAATCATAAATAAAACTATTTTCTAGGATTTCCATCATATTTTGCTGAACTAAGTTAATTATTTATTCTGAAGAAGTTTCATAGCCTTTTTTCTATCACTAAAACTTCCCCTCTTAGGGATTCCAGGATTTTTTTTTAATCTAATTTTTTTTGAAAACTCCTGCTTTAAGTGATGCAAATATAGAAGAGCAACACTTTAGAATTTATTTTATGTGCATTCTACAAAACGTTAAATGTAAATGTATGCTATTGGAACTATGTAAAATCTTTTACTTTACATATATTTAACATTACTATTAATAATATTTATTGTGCTGTTAGCCAATAAATATACTTTAAAAACACAATTTTATTTTCTTTCTCTTGCACAGGACAGGAAAAACCCACTGAGCAAGAAAGTACTGAAACCAAACATCCTGAGACAATTAACAGATATGGGAGCTTGAATTCCCTAGATTCCACAGCTTCCTCTGGAATTGGTAGCTATAGCACCCAGATGTCTGGTACAGACAATCCAGAGCAATTTGAGGTTCTAAAGCAACAGAAAGAAATAATAGAACAAGGAATAGATTTGTACGTTTTATTTTTTTCACTGTATGAAAAATTTTAAGAACTTTCTGTTTGTTTTTTGAGCAATCCCCTCTTTGTTTTGCTACTTTGAAATATCTTAGCAGATACCACAACACTCATCTTAAAAATAAACATCATTAACTTTAACACTTCAAGGGCTGTGAAGAAGTGTAACACATACTTCCCATTATTAGAATTTTACTTAAAACAAGGGTCCCCAACCCCAGGCCACGGCCTACTACTGGAGCGTGAGCTGTTCAGAACTGGGCTGCCCGAAGCAGCAACTGAGCATGTGTGCATGCGCACATCCCCACTTGCAAGAGCAGCAGGCAAGTGTTTACGCACACCATTTGCAGTAGAATGTGAGCACTTGCCACCGTTCAGGTGGAACCATCCCCCCTTTCTCCTCCCCGCCCCCAGATCTGCAAAGCTGGAAAGGTTGGGGAACTCTGACTTAGAAGACAGGTCAAAGATCTTAATTCAGTAATATGGTTCCTGCAAGGAGCATTGAAAATATACCATGCAGCCATGCAGTCAAGACTCTCATCCATGTCCCCAAAGGTTACAAAATGGAAGAGAATTGGTTCACTTGTTTGTTATATTTATGCCATTTTAAAATTACTAAAGTTTACTTTTTCAGTTCTAAGACAGCTAATTGGTTCACTTGTTTGTTATATTTAAGAAATAAGTCTAACGCAGCTACAATCTGTAAGTGCATCTCTTGGCTGTATGAAAAAGAAGGTAGACCATTGTCAGTGTCAGCAAATTAGTGAAGGAGACAACACAATTGAGTGTACAGGTTAATAGAAGGAGAAAAAAAGAAGAAAGTAGGAGAACACAGTGCCAGTGAAGAGAAAACACAAAATATTTGTAATTAGCAACAAATGCCAAAGATTTTAAACCATTTTTCTGGGATAAAATTGCAAGCCACAGATCTTGCCTATTATCCCAGTGAAAATTAAAACTGTTCTATTTTTGCTATTTTGCTGTTTACCTCTTTCATTGAGATTGCTGTTTTCTCAGTACAAGACTTCAGAACTGCGCTGCTTTTCTGCCTATTGCATCGGGATCCATTTTAAACAGTGGATGGGTTTATTTGTATGTTTATGTTTGAAGGAGGGTTTGTGCTGTTTTGCATGCCTAGCCTCTTAATGTACCTCTAGACTCGTAGGTTTGCCTTACTTTGTGCTACAATAGTTAAAGTTCATTAATTAAAATTATCCATTGCTGTTTGGATGGTTGAAAGGCCTTCCAGAGTAGATTTTGGGCATATAAGACAACTAAAGGGAAGAAATAGAAAAACGTAAACATGTTTTAATTCCTTTCACTTAGAGAAAAATAATTTTGCTGCACTTTTCTACCCCATATTTTTCCAATATGAGGCTTTATTTGTGAAGATGGAAACTTCGAGCCCTGGAGAAAGTGAGGAAGGCTTTGCTCATCTCAGTTCAATTGTAATAGTCAAATATGGTGCTTGTTTCTTAACTGTGGGTGTTTATTTTTATAATCAATAAAATAAAACAAAGCAATAGAATACAGTAATCAAAATAAGTTAATCAAATGACAGTCTGATTTTAGAGCAGTAGTTACTCTCCTCAAGTGAGACATTTCTTCAATTATTATAAAAATTAGAAAACCTAAAGATTAGTTGTATTTTTGCTGGCAGAGAGTGTCACAATCCCCATCAAGAATATTATACTCCTTACTATCACAAAGACAGATCAAAACAGATAAATTTTGAGAGACTAAGAGCAGTACATCGCCCCCAGCTGATGTAGGCATTTGATATATTAGAGGAAGCAGTTTTCTAAAACTTATGATCTAATTCACTTGGGACTTTATCAGTTAATGTCAGTATTTGAATTGGGCCCTGAACTGTTAGGCTTCTAAATAAAAATTTTAAGGATCAGTATTACATAGTTATAGTTAGTTTTCATACTAACTATATAGACACATCAGGATCATTTTCAGGTATGGCCTCTTGTAGAGCATGCTCAATTGAATTAAATGATGTATAATTACTTGATTTCTGGTAATTATTTTTTGACTATGCTAGAATCCTAAGTGCTGTTGTATTTGATTCTGTGCAGTAGGGAAATAGTTAGATAAATGGCAAAGCATCTTATGATGGGAAAGTTTTAGCTTGGCATTAAATTTTTCTATGAAGGTCTACACATTCCTGATCTTTTATGTCCTTCATGTAAAACATTCATTCCAAATATATTAAAAAAAAATTAAAATAAGAAAAATGGAAACAGCCTCTATCATAAACTTCTACTTTGGGATGCAAGAGAAAGATTAATTTGATATTTATATTATTTTAAAATAATTATGCTATTCTGAATGCTCTTTTGATATGAAAATGTATATTTTCCATCAGCATTTAATTAACATACTTTATGTGCAGATTTAATAAGAAGCCAAAGAGAGGAATTCAGTATCTACAAGAACAAGGAATGCTTGGTATTACTTCTGAAGATATTGCCCAGTTCTTGCATCAAGAAGAAAGATTAGACTCTGTAAGAAAACTAGTCCATTTTCAATAAAATTGCCTTTATAAACCTAATTATCATTATTTGATCTAGACTAATGAGTAATCTTAGATTCCAATTATTGGCTTATTCCTATAATTCAAAGACTTTATGAATGAATGAATGAATGAATGAATGAATGTTTGTTGGCCAAGTGTGATTAGACACACAAAGAATTTGTCTTGTTGCGTATGCTCTCAGTGTACATAAAAAGTAAAGATACATTCGTCAAGAATCATAAGGTACAACACTTAATGATAGTCATAAGGTACAAATAAGCAATCAAATTATACTAGGAAACAGTCAATATAAATCGTAAGGATACAAGCGACAAAGTTACAGTCATAAAGTCACAAGTGGGAGGGAATGGGTAATAGGAATGATGAGAGGATTAATAGTAATAGTAATGCAGACTTAGTAAATAGTTGGACCGTGTTGAGGGAATTATTTGTTTAGGAAAGTGATGGCTTTCGGGGAAAAAACTGTTATTGTGTCTAGTTGTTCTGGTGTGCAGTACTCTATAACGTTTTGAGGGTAGGAGTTGAAACAGTTTATGTCCATGATGTGAGGTGTCTGTAAGTATTTTCACAGCCCTCTTTTTGACTCACAGGTCCTTAATGGAAGGCAGGTTGGTAGTAATTGTTTTTTCTGCAGTCCTAATTATCCTCTGAAGTCTGTGTCTGTCTTGTTGGTTTGCAGAACCAAACCAGACAATTATAGAGGTGCAGATGACAGACTCAATAATTCCTCTGTAGAACTGTATCAGCAGCTCCTTGGGCAGTTTGAGCTTTCTGAGTTAAGAAAGAACATTCTTCGTTGTGCTTTTTTGATGACGTTCTTGATGTTATGTGTCCATTTTAGGTCTTGAGATATGGTAGAACCTAGAAATTTGAAGATCTCTTGCTCCTGTGTTTAGTATTGTAAGAGGTGGTAGTATGGGAGGATTTCGAAAGTCTACCACCATTTCTATGTTTTTGAGTGTGATCAGTTCCAGATTGTTCTGGTCGCACCACGAGGCAAGTTGTACAACCTCTTGTCTGTATGTAGATTCATCATTGCCTCGAATGAGATCAATCACTGTTGTATCATCTGCAAACTTTAGTAGTTTAACAGATGGATCATTTGAGATTCAGTCATTGATATATTGGGAGAAGAGGAGTGGCGAAAGCACTCAGCCTTGGGGGGGTGGGCTATGCTAATTGTACAGGCATTGTACAGGTGATTCTGCCTAGCTTCACCTGCTGCTTCCTGTCTGTTAGGAAGTTTATGTCCACTAAAAAGTGTGTTCAGGTACCACTAGTTAATTTAGTTTAGTTAGAAGAATGTCTGGAATGTTGATATTGAATTCTGAACTGAAGTCTACAAAGAGACCCTTGCGTAGGTCTTTGGAGATTCAAGATGTTGTAGATGTAGTGCAAAGCCATTTAACAGCATCATCTGTCAATCTATTTGCTTGGTATGCAAATTGCAGGGGGTCTAACAGCGGATCCGTGATGGTTTTCTCTGTCCCCTTTCAAGGTACTTGTTCCAGAAAATGCTGAACATTTAAGAAGAAAAGATAGCACCCACTCTTTGAAAGCAGAGAATATAATCAGAATTAGCAACAATGCTCTTTTTGTCAAAAACAAAAACCTACTTTTTGATAGTACTCTGTCTTACAGTACATGTTTCTTAAGTCAGAATTCATGCCTTCTTCTAACAGAAGAAATACAAGTAGTCCTTGACTTACAGCAGTGATTGATCAAAGTTTCTGTTGCTAAACAAGGCAGTTAAGTGAGCTTTGCTCTATTTTATGACCTTTCTTGTCACAGTTGTTAAATGAATCTGGCTTCCCCATTAACTTTGCTTGTCAGAAGGTACCAAAAAGTGATCACACTGCAACCATCCTAAATACGTGCCAATTGCTAAGTGTCTGAACTTTGATCACATGAGCACTGGGATGCTGCAATGGTCCTAGGTATGAAAAGCGGTCATAAGTTAGTTTTTTCACTTCCATTGTAACTTCAAATGGTCAATAACAAATGTTTGTAAGTCAAGTACTGCCTGTAATATAGAACCTGAAAGATCTAAGACTTATACTCTGTCTGTCTGTCTGTCTGTCTGTCTACCACAGTTTTGGAAGCCCTCACAGTAAACCAGTAATATGTTGCTTCTTTTGGCTATATGGAATTCACTGTTTTTCTTTCATTTTAGACTCAAGTTGGAGAGTTTCTAGGAGACAATGATAAATTTAACAAGGAAGTTATGTATGCATATGTGGATCAGCATGACTTTTCTGCGAAGGATTTTGTTTCTGCTCTGCGTATGTTTTTGGAAGGCTTCCGTCTTCCAGGAGAGGCTCAGAAAATAGATAGATTAATGGAGAAATTTGCTGCTAGATACTTGGAATGTAATCAAGGGTAAGCAATTTTCTATTTTTTTTAAACCAGATAATGGGAAAATGTTTCTTAAAACCAGATAATGGGAAAAATATTTTGTTCTCTCTCTTTCTGCATCTATTTTTACAGGCAAACTCTGTTCGCTAGTGCAGACACTGCATATGTCTTGGCGTATTCAATTATTATGTTGACAACAGATCTCCATAGCCCACAGGTATGTTTTATAAATCTCTTAAAATGCCTTTAAATGAAGAATTAAACATATAGACATTTCCATTACTACTCTTTCCTTCTTATTTGGTCATTAATGCTGTCTTTAAACAAGTATTTCTGTTGTGTCTTATCTCATTTTCCCCTCCCTTAATTGGTACACATTTTCAGTAGCAAATAATCTCTGCTTCTGAAGTTTCAGTTCTATTTTCTGTGTGTTCAATTACCTCTGTTTCCATTATTTTTATCTACAAATTGTAAGCAGATTGTCAAAAGCAGGGAATTAGGTACAAAATAGTTGGAAACTCCATTCTAGCTGTTCCTAAAAGAAGGATGAATTAATTTTGTGCATAGACAATCAGATGCTTTCATAGTATTTATGTATTCATTACATTTCCATATTGTTCAGTAGCCTCTTGTGGCAGTTCACAAAGTTCAAGGTTCATATTCCAAAATTCTTAAATAATAAAAAATGTATAAAGAGCAAAGTCCAAGTAACACACCAAAATTGCCAAGATCTAAAAAGCATAAAATGTTTTTAAAATCGAAAGAATAAAAAACATGAAAGAAGAATGAAGTATTCAACGGGTACCAAAAAGATTGCAAAGCAAATCTCTGGGAGCAGGAATTCTTAAACCTGACCATCAGGATTGAAAAAGTTCCTTACTAACAGCTTCACTAATACAATTTTTTTATCCAGATTGAATAAAAATGTCTTTAAATACAAACTAAAAAGTTGTGGGTACTGCCACAAATATACTAACTGTATAGCCACAATGATATAGCACTATCACTGTAATGTCATAAGACTAAAATATGGCATGATGTAGTAAATAAAATGAATACTGAAATGTGTAGATTAGCAACCTCTTTCTTTAGATCAAATTAGTCTCTGATTTATCTTCTACTAGATTCTGATTAGCATTCATAAATTCTAATTTAATAAAACTTCTTTCTTTTATCTATAATACTGGAATGTTACTCCTAACTTTTAGGTAAAGAATAAAATGACCAAAGAACAATACATTAAGATGAACAGAGGTATCAATGATAGTAAGGATCTTCCTGAAGAATATCTGTCAGCTATTTATAATGAAATAGCAGGAAAGAAGATCTCAATGAAGGAAACAAAAGAACTAACAATACCCACAAAAACAAGTAAACAAAGTAAGTATCTACAGAAGACTATTATTCACAGGATAATTGCTGGCTCTTTCTGGTTGGTACTCTGATGATTTTAATTGCATCCAGAAACTAACTAGCAGCCAGTCCAGTAGTAGTAGTCCTACATGGGCAAACCTTGATATACTGATAACTGCCTAGGTCACTGTATGTTGTATCAGCTCTAGCCTTCACATATTCAAGAACAGCTTCTTTGATTATTGATAACATAAATAGCTACCAAAAGAATGTTAAATAAAAAGTCAAATAGCAAAATATTTAATGTAGTTTACGACAAAAGATTATCTTTATTTAAAGTGTTTGGATGTGAATATAGTTAAATGATTTCAATATTCTTTGTGATATGAATGGTAAATAATTTCATTCGAATAATTTGCTTGCAGGTGTAGCTAGTGAAAAGCAGAGAAGACTACTTTATAATTTAGAAATGGAGCAAATGGCTAAAACAGCTAAAGCTTTGATGGAAGCAGTAAGCCACGTTCAAGCTCCTTTTACAAGCGCAACACACTTGGAACATGTAAGACCCATGTTCAAGGTAAATCTTTTCAAGTTTCTCATTGTTGCATATTTCATAGGGGGAAGTTAACATTTTTCAGTTTCAAATCATCTGAAGAATAGATCTTTTTGGTTCTTAATTTTAGGCAGATCAAAGTGTGTTAACAGTATGGTATTATAAATTTGATAATATAAGTTAAATTGTATTTTTAGTATGAGTTAGAGAAGCTTACATTTTTATCAACCTTTCACTCATACACACACAGACAGGTACACACTCACATGCTTATATGAATCTCTGCATGGGGTATATATTTTGTCAAATATTAAAATGTGACATACAATTTTTTAAATTCTGTTTTTTAGTTAGCCTGGACACCATTCCTAGCCGCATTCAGTGTGGGTTTGCAAGATTGTGATGACACAGAAGTTGCCTCTCTTTGCCTGGAAGGAATTCGTTGTGCAATCAGGATAGCATGCATTTTCAGTATCCAGGTAATACTAAATTCTAAAGTTTCATAGAACAAGTTTTGGTTCTAAGAATAGTAAATAGTATTAAAGGTAGTTTTGCAAATTGAAAGCAATCTTTAATTTCTAACTTCAAACCAATTATGTGTACTAACTTCAAAGTAATAAGGTTATTGGTTAAAGACACTGAGGTTGTCAGCTGGAAAGCTGACAGCCTGGGCTTGAGACCTGAGCGCCACGAGACAAGGTGAGCTCCCATTACTTGCTCCAGCCCCTGCCAACCTAGCAGTTAAAAAAACATGCAAATTCATGGGAAGGGGACAGTGTTCTCTGTACTTCAGCATATAATCATGCCAGCCACATGACCACGAAAGCATCTTTGGATAATGCTAGCTCCTTCAGCTAAGAAATGGAAATGAGCATGGCCCCATAAAGTTAGACACAATTAGATAGGGGAAACCTTTACCTTCTAAGTGAAATCATACCAGTATTATGTGGATGCACAGAATTTGTTAATGCAAGACCAGACACTAACATCTCAATAATGCTTCATTTATTTTGGACCATACTAATCTCTTTTGGCTAATGCCATTCCAAACAGTATTTGATGGTTTCCAGAAATAATTTTTCAAAACTGAAAGTGGTATGAGATAGACTGGAATGATCTGACTCCCAGTCAGGCCTCTTTGTTTTGCACACAATAGCTGGAACACCTCAGACTTTCCAGTTCAGAGAATTTACTTTTGGAAACTATCCATTTGCTGCTGGGCTACAAATATAGGAAGTTTGACCTAGATCAGAGAGAACATTCATGAGGTCTCCATTCATTCTGTTCCTGAATCATCAGATTTTGCATGTCCCATCAGATTTTGCATATTATAACATGTATTTAAGTTTATAAACTTGCACCTTAATTTTATTCATAAATGAAATTGACACACAACAGTTATATTACAATGTATCCCAACACAGGTAGGTAGGTTTTGTTTTAACAAGCAAAGCACCAACAAACGTTCAAAAATATTTTCAGTTAGAGAAAAATCATACTTTTGACTACCTTTCCAGGTTCTGTGCTTTTCATTAGGGAAAGTAGACAGTAACTCAGGAAAGTAAGTTGAACGGGTTTTTTTGAGAAAAACATTTAATTTTGGTAGTGAGGTGACTTGTGAATTATATGAGATTAATTCAGTGAATTGCAGAAAATAATAAAGAGGTTGGGAGAGAACTGAAAGAGAAAAAACTGAAATAAAGAGATAAGATCTAAGATTTGAGAAGATGTTTTTTTAAACAAATAGATAAAATATACACATGTAGTCCTTGACTTACAACTATTTGTTTAGTGACTGTTCGAAGATACAGTAGTATCTTGAAAAAAGTGACGACCATTTTTGAAACTTAGAACTGTTGCCGCATTCACATGGTCATGTGATCAAAATTTGGATGCTTGGCCACTGGCATGTATTAATACTACATGCTACACTTGATTTATGACGGTTGCAGAGTCCTGGGGTCATATGATTGCCTTTGCTACAAGCAAAGTCAGTGGGGAAATCAGATTCACTTAACAACCATGGTTCTAATTTAGCAACGTCAGTGATTCACTTAACAGCTGGGACAAGAAGTGATTAAAATGGGGCAAAACTCACTTAACAACTGTCTTACTTAGCAACAGAAATTTGGGGTTCAGTTGTGGTCGTGACACAAGTACTATCTATATAATGCATTTTTGAGTATAAAATGTGAGCAGCCAATTTTAGTTCATCCACTTTCCTTAATTTGCTTGCTTTAGTTTTCACTTTGATTTCTATGTACGCAGAACTATTATATTTAAAAATTATAAGATGGAATAAATATTAAGAAACTGAAACAGATTATTTCTTTCTCTCTATAGCTTGAGATGGATGCTTATGTCCAAGCACTAGCAAGATTTACTTTACTTACTGTGAGTTCTGGTATAACTGAAATGAAGCAGAAGAATATTGACACAATAAAAACACTAATTACTGTGGCTCACACCGATGGAAATTATTTGGGAAATTCTTGGCATGAGGTAGATTATCTTTTCAAATATATATAATAACTGACATTATGTAATATTAAATGCAACATTATTATAAATTTAAATTACATAAAATTAATTAAATTACATAAGATTACACTACTGTCATATGTTTGCTTAATATTGCCTATTGGAAAGCAAACTCCAAAAGGAAACTGGATGGTTAACTACTTGCTTATTGACTATTTGTTTAGCAATTGTTCAAAGTTGTGACAATGCTGAAAAAAGAGACCTTGAAATTCCAGACAAAACAGCACCCCCTCAGTCACATGATTGCAATCTGGACACTTGGCAACTGGCTCACACGTATAATATTTCCAGCATCCCACAGTCACATAATTGCCATTTGCAACCTTCTTTGCTAGCTTCTTATGAATTTCATTGTATGTATACTGTGTATATACGTACAATGACAATAAGGAATTCAATTCTTACAAGCAAAGTCAATGGAGAAGCTGGCTGGGAAGATCACAGGTGGCTCCAGTAAGTTCTTCACACTCCTTTGGCCTGGCAACAGCCACCCCAACCCTGCTGCTCTTGCATTGCATCTCACAGGCCGTTCAACCATTTCCTGGGGGTGGGGCTCAGCAGCCCCACCACACTCATGGGCTACTCTCATGTGCCCACCTGGCAACAGCCACTCCAGGCTCCAACATGCTTTTATCGAGCCTTGCAAGCCATTCACATAGCCTCCCCTGCCTAGCAACAGCTAAACTTGGCTCTGCCATTTTGTATCATGTTTTACCTACCTGCCAGCCTGCTTGAAAGCCACCTGGGACTCAGTTAATGACTTGCGAGCCTCATTTAATGATGGCAGTAGGGGTTGCCTGGATTGCTATCACTAAACAATAAAGTCATGTGACATTACTCTTTATGACCAAATAGCTCAGCAACAGAAAGTTTTGTTCCAATTACTGTTGTTAACTGAGGGCTACCTATAGTGCTTTTAAGCTGTAGTGAAATTATTTCTAAAACATGAGCCTTTGTGGATTGTTTAGTTAATTTGTAGCATTATTTTCTTAATTCAAGATTTTGAAATGCATCAGTCAGCTTGAATTAGCACAATTAATAGGTACTGGAGTAAAACCACGTTACATATCTGGGACTGTGAGAGGCCGAGAAGGTTCATTTACAGGAACAAAGGATCAGGCTCCTGATGAATTTGCAAGCCTAGGACTTGGTATGTATTGTAACTCCTAATTGAGTGGAACAATTTCTTTAACAACATAATACCTATTTTTGACATAAATACGTCAGTGTATTTTCTCTGAAAGAATAAAATGTGGAAGAATTGTGATACTTACAAATGTATCTTTTTAGTCTCTAAATAGCTTTATTATTGGCATCTCATTTTAGTACTATACCTAGAGGGAAATATTGCTAGAATCTCCACGTCTATGTCTTATTTAGAAAAGGGTGAATAGGAACCAGTTCATATTTACTGTTTCAAAAATGACACGCCCTTTGCATGTACAGTTTAGCTTTAATCCACTAAGGTAATTCAACAGCTGATACTATTAGGAAATACTGAGGAATGGTTGTACAAACAAAATGTTCAGGGGAAAATGATTTGGGATTATGTAGGAACATCTCCATAATATGAAAAGTGTTTGGTAAAAAGTAATGTTCATAAAGAAATCATTTTTAGACATAGATGGAATAATTACATATGTTTATTCTCCTCTGCTATTAAATTACATTATGTAATCCCAAGCACCAAGCACATTATCAGCTTCTAACAAACTGTCCTAAGGTCATGTTTTAGATCCTTATTCATCAGCCTTGGATGAAGTGCTCAATTATCCTTCCATTTTTGCAAACTGAAAATTTCCTCAACCCCAAGCAATGCACTTCACAGAAAACTTTTAATATATTGCTGGGGTTTTTGGTGCTGATTAGAATTGTTAATCCTGTAAACCTTCATAGCATAACTGATCCTTGTATTACTTCAAGGGACAGAAGATCTTTAATTAGTGTGACTGGTGGCTGGCATAATTTCCCTTACTTATGACAGCTAGCTGCATTGGTGTAAAGCACAGTTCTGATATTCTGATTCTGTTATTGCGTGCTCTTGTGAATAAGGGCATTCTTCAATTAGACTAGCAATAGAAATAGCCTTTATTTGTTAGAGTTCAAAAAGCTGTAACATTGATCAGCCTACTTATTTCCATCAGTGACTCATTTCTTCTGCTCTGCTACTGTTTAATTTTTAAATAATGATAAATTAGATGGAAATAAGTTCAATATATCCTTTTAGTCTTTATTCATAGTATTGCGAGGTAGCTGCATCTAGCAATAAATAGACAATATGGGGTTAATATGCAACTTCAAATATATCATTTCTTTTGTAAAAAAAATTTGGGTAGCAGTCATTTTGTCAATGCTATTTTAGTAATGTAGTAAACATACCTTTAATTATTTACAGAGTAAATTTTCTCTCTTACAATCCATATTCTTTTTTAATGATGTGTTTTACAGTTGGAGGAAATATGGACTGGAAGCAGATTGCAAGTATTCAAGAATCTATTGGAGAAACTAGTTCACAAAGTGTTGTTGTTGCTGTAGACAGGTAATTTATCTAGCATCAGAATTTGCTCTCTAGAAAATAGTATTCTTTGTTCAAGTGTACAAGTGGTAGCATAGTCATATTTATAAAGCATTGTAAAAAAAATTAAAATGAAAGGAAAACTAAACCATTTGGGTGGTTTACCTATATGTTTGCATACTTATGAGAGTGGTGAAATGAAAATATTCTTTTCTTTTCATGTTTCTTTTAACTTCATACCTATTTTCAGAGGTAGAAATTGTAATATTCCCTTCATATTTACTGGTATAATTCTTTTGTAACCTAATTTGTACTGAAGAAAACATGTCACAAAAATTATTGCACAATTTTATTCTATTTGCAGAATATTTACAGGATCTACTAGACTAGATGGAAATGCTATTGGTAAGCATTAGTTTAGATATGGTTGAACATAAATTCTGTAATAAAGAATGAATTAATTGGCATTTTAGAAATAATAAGTAGATTGTGTTTGGATTTAACAGTGGATTTCGTCAGATGGCTTTGTGCTGTTTCTATGGATGAATTATTGTCTGCAACTCATCCCCGGATGTTCAGCCTACAAAAAATAGTAGAGATTTCTTACTATAACATGGGGCGAATAAGGCTACAGTGGTCTAGAATATGGGAAGTTATTGGAGATCATTTCAATAAGGTATGTCAGAGTATATTATATATTCTTTTTTAACAAGTTTTATTCAGTTTTCCATATTTTAAACTCTTTTTAGTGAACAGCATGATTACAGGTTTCACATATACATACAAATATGAGCATAATTACATATTCAATTTTTATATCCAATTCCTTATCTTAACAGCGCTCTTATACATTTTCTATTTTATTGTATTATTACAAATATTTATCTCATTATTTAATTCACTTATGATAACTTCATAATCATACTTTAGTACTTTTAACTGTCACATTTGTATATTTCATCTTAAATTCTAATTTTAAAAAAAGACACTTCTTCTATAAATTGGTTTCCCCCCTGAAATCTCAATATAAGTGCGCCACCTCTAAGTTATAAATTTATTTATTTTCACCCCTTTTAAATCTCGTTAAAACATTTTACATTATTACCTAAAACATTAAACTTAATAATCCCTTTAAAACTATATAGCATATATAAATCAGATTCTGCATGATTTTTCTCCTTTTAAGTTTCATTAAATTTCCCGTCTCCAAAAAGGGCATATTAATCTACTCATTCAAACAGTAAAACAATCCTAGGCCCTAAAGTTAATTCCATTTCAGCTCTCTTCCTATATCATTTCATTTATTTCCATATATTTAATACACACATTCCATTAATTATTCAATTCATATTTAAACCAAAAAAGCCAACATTCCAATCTTAAAAATATTTCAATATATCTAATATACTTATTCCATTATTTGTTACAATTATCTCTCTACATAAAGAAGAAGAGCATTAGATTCCATTATCCAAAAAATAACAATTCTGTTTTTCCATCTTGTCAGTCTATATGTCCCTATTTTGTAACTATAAATTTATTTATATTACCCCTCAATACCTTGCAGAATCCCCTTTCTATATAATAATCACCCATTATCTCTGTGTCCAATTAAGCATTTCCCCATTTTTTTTACAATTCCCATATTTCTTTGTTTCCAAATCCTGTTTCTTGTCCCTTCTTCCCCCCTGTCTTTTTTCATTTGTTCTTTCACTCCAGTTTTTATCCCTCTCTCTATTTATAGCTTCCTTTCGCCCTTTGAATTTCTGCTGACTCTTTTTCCCTTTTTTAATTTTTTGGATATTCCCCTTTTTATTTAATTTCTTAAATCTCCTGTATTTATTTCCAACTCTTTTCTTCTTTCTTTCAAGAGTTCTTGGTTCTTGATGATCACTAAAGATGGTCTCTTCTATGATTTGCTCCACCTCCTCTTCTGCCTTTTGTCTTTGTTGTTCATATTCTGCTGTCACATTTTCAATAAATTTTAAAGCAAAACCCAGCGATTCACCTCGTTATTGTAGTGTTTATTTCATTTTTCTGAGTTCCATTTTTAATGCCAGAAGAGAAATCGCCATTTTACAACTTTCTAATTCGCAATTTAATCCAAATAGTATCTTTAAAGTTTATTTCCAACAGTCAACTTTTCTTCCTCTCAAGTTTTTAAGTCTCCGCTAATCCAGTGCCAAATTCATGTCAGAATCAGCAACTAATCCAAAGGCAGAATCTTTCTAATTCTTTCTTTGTTACAGTGTTTCAATTTTTCAAAGTTCTTGCTTTATTGTATCAATTTCCATGCAATTTCAAGAAATGAGTTTTTTAAAAGAAAAACAAGTTTAGTTTAATTGAGATGGCACTCCTTATTAAGCTAAGTCTTCACCCCCTCTTTTCTTTTTTCTTCTCTATTATTCAGAGCTTTTTAAACCACAATTTTCCAACAAGAAAAAGATCAAATCCAGTTGATATTAAATTTCCTCTTTAACAGTCTATAGTTCAGCTTTATTAGTGCCAATATAAAATCAAAGTATACTTATCCAAGTTGATTATATAGTTCCTTCTCCAGCTTCTACCTTTTGCGGTTTCGAAGCCCCGAAGCTATCAAAAGCAATTCACATCTTTTTTTGTTCTCTTTCTCTTCGCCGCTTAGATCATCTCTTAAAGATTCTTTGAAATGTTAATCCTGGGGGTATCTTCCATTTGTTTATATCGTCCCGTACCTCCTGCTGCTTTGCTTCTTTCTCTCTCTCCTGCACAATCTTATTCCAGTCTAATCTTCCCCTTCAGGGTGGCCATTTTAGACCATCTTCGGGAGGGAGCAATTGCCAAGCTGGGGAGGGGATTTGCGACTCCCCTCTACCCAGCTGACGGTCTCCCCTTCCTCCGCCACCCCTACGAGGTAGCTTCTGCCCCGAATCCAAAGGATTGGGGCTCTCCGACGCCAAAGTACGAACCATAGCTGTGCATGATCGCGGTCAGCGGTCCATCTTTGGGGAAGCTCAAAGCAGGACTTATTTTTGTTACCTTTTCATTAACTCTCACATCCAACAAATATAACCAAAAAAGAAGATAACCAGGAAATATAAATAATCAAAACATACTATTTTCATAGGAGTCCATCCGCACTAGTAGTCCCCAGAGCCCACGGGAACAGAAAGATGTTTAGTGTCCCACAAGAGCTAAGCAGAGTTGAAGACTCCACACCTCAGGAAAATTGCTCTATGACGTAGGCCTGCCATCAAAAAAGAGCACCCACCCTCCTCAGTTCATATAGGATAGAGACCTTCAGTATCAGGCTATACCTGTGTCTCTCAAATTGGGAGAGACAACTTTATATATAAGAAAACAATCACAGTTGGGCCTAGAATTGTATTGGCAATCAGTGTGCCAAAGGTTGCATCCATATTACACTAACCCTTTTAGGATGTGCGTTGCTGCATTATGAACTGCAATTATATACTGAAGTTTTAGACAGCAATAAAATTATTCTACTAAACATTGTTGCTGGAAAGAAATACTAAGCATTGTGATATTTTACATAATTTTGTAATGTTTTTGTCAAATGTAGATTTAACATGTAGGTTATATTCGTTATAGAAGGCTGTTTTCATTTTTTTTATAGCTAACATTGTATTTCATTGTGCTTTCTAATGTGGCTTTGCTAGGTTGGCTGTAATCCCAATGAAGATGTAGCTATTTTTGCCGTAGATTCCTTAAGGCAATTATCAATGAAGTTCTTAGAAAAAGGGGAACTTGCTAATTTCCGTTTCCAAAAGGATTTCTTAAGACCATTTGAACACATCATGAAGAGAAATAGGTATTGACAATCATTCTGAAATCTAAACACAAGGAATGAATCAATTTCTTGGTTTTTCTTTCCTTTTTTGTTATATTGTTATAATTCTTGATGTATTTGATTCAATACATTGTACAGTATTAATTAAAATAGTTTATTGTTTAGATTACTTGGAATACTGAGAATAAAAGAAAGAAATAAGTCTATCAATACTAATTAAATTTAATATATTTATATTAAAGGTATATTTGACTTTTTCATAGAAAAGTAGAAAAAACAAGTTGCTGCAGATTACATCAAAGTACTAGAATTAAGTCAATTTTAATCAGTATATGTATTTATTTGTGAAATTCATTTTAGATCACCAACCATTCGTGACATGGTTGTCCGTTGCATAGCCCAGATGGTAAATTCCCAAGCAGCAAATATACGATCAGGTTGGAAGAACATTTTCTCCGTTTTTCATTTGGCTGCATCTGATCAGGATGAAAGTATAGTGGAACTGGCATTTCAGACTACCGGCCACATTGTCAGTGAGTACTAATAATATTTATAGAATAGTTCCTAGAGATATAATATTTTGTCCCTAGAAACTGGGACACCATAGCTTCTTCCATTGCCTTAGGCACAAAGCTCCTTGGAACCATCATTCTCTCTCTCTAGGAAGGAGGCAGTGGCAAACTATTTCCAAAATTTATTTAATTATTAGATTTTTATCCTGTCTTGATTACTTTATAAGTAACTCAAGACAAGGAATATATATAATACTCCTTTCTGCTCCTCTTTTTCCCCACAACAACAGTCCTGTGAGGTGGGATGGACTGAGGTCTTGCTAAGAATACTGCGGAGACTTGTCCAGACAGTAGCTAAGAGTCAATGCTGAATCAAAGGCACAATAATAATTTTCAGTTTTAGGGAATCTTAAAAAGTAATAGTTATGTTTATTGATATTTGATGTCTTATGTTTATCTTAAATGCTATCAATATTTCATTATTTTGCTGTAGTAATGATTATATCTTGTTTTAAAAATGAACTTTTTGGAACATTACACATATTCTTTCTTTTAGCAATTGTGTTTGAAAAACATTTCCCAGCAACCATAGATTCCTTCCAGGATGCAGTAAAATGCTTGTCTGAATTTGCATGTAATGCAGCTTTTCCTGACACAAGTATGGAAGCTATTCGCCTTATTCGTCATTGTGCAAAATATGTATCGGAAAGACCTCAGGTACAGTTTATTCTGTGTCAGAATATTATTACTTGTGTCAGGTGTTGATTATATTCTATATTGAAAACTACATTTCAGCAGTTATAAAATGACGTATATGTTTGAAACCTTTTTTTTATTTATCCTGAAATAATAAAATCTGTTTTGAAAACTTCTATTGTGTAAACTTCTATTTTTTTCTTAATTTTTTAATTTGGTCCATCATACTTCTATGTTTAGAAATAGACTTTTTGTGTGTAAAGTTTGGACCATTTTGTCTATCCACATAGAAATGCTACAACTAAAGAGAACTAACATTATACACCTATCTTTACTTTTAAAGGCTTTCAGAGAATATACTAGTGATGACATGAATGTTGCTCCAGAAGACAGGGTGTGGGTGAGAGGCTGGTTTCCAATTCTCTTTGAGCTGTCCTGTATTATCAATAGATGCAAATTAGATGTAAGAACCAGGTAACAATCCATATTTGTCATTCAACATTATAATGTATATATTTTAGTTGTAAGCTCCTGGAAAGTACTAGATGAGATATATTATTATTGCCACATTATTTATAACTAATCTAACTGTCAGCAAGATACTGCATCGTGCAAAGAAACAAAGTAATGGGGATACATGCCAAATTTATTATATTTTTATTCCACCTTTATAGTTCATGTATGTTCATGTATTTGCTTTAAAGACATTTTTACTCTAGTAAATTGTTGGAACTCTATTGAATATTGGTCTGGGGGAGAAAGAGAGATGGAGGGAGGAGGAGGGAGGAGAGAAAGAAAGAGAGAGATATGAAATGTGTGGGTGAGAATGTAGTATTTAATATTGTATATGATATGTGAGTGTGACTGTCTAGTCGTTTATATAAAAAAAAGTCAGCCTAATCTTTAAATTGAAATCTAAACCTAAATCATGCAGTAGTACTTTAAAACTAGGGTTATTCTCATGCATGTGGCATTTAAGCAGCAGTGTAAGCAAGTCAAACCAAAATATAAATAGCACATTATGAAGTGGACAGTAATTGGGATTTGAAAATTCCACTACTAAAACGTAATCAATCCATGATTATAAACTTCCATTTTCTTTCCAAGTCCCTTTGCAACTTAATATTTTGGAATAGAAATGTTGCCAACTTAGCAATAACCTATGTGAGGTGAGAGAATAGGTCAAATTCTCAAAATTGTATGTCAGCACAGAAAATTACAGGTGACTTAAACAAAGATATATGCATCCAAATTCATAAGCCCAATATATAATAATCACTTGACTAGAAGTCTGGTAATTATGACAAAATGTCTGAATCAGTGCGTAGTTTCTATGAATATATTGACCAATAATACTTTTATGGATTGCATACAAGAATCCAATATATTAGGGACTGTTCTACTAACTTTAATTAGAGCAAGTTTCATATATCACCCGAATTTTGTATTGAATGAAGCAACCTTGCCTACATAAAATGCTTCTATCAGACTTTTAAGCTTTTCAGCTTCTTTTTTGTAATTGTTGTTTCTAGAAGGTTACATAGAGTTGTTTACAGGTAGTCCTTGACTTATTACTGTAAAATATTACCTGTAAGATATTTGCCTACATTTTCTGACTGTATCAATTTATGTTTAGCGATAGTTTAAAAGTAAGAGCTGAAAGATCTAATTGGTAATTGTTTCTTATACTCTTTTTTATTTTAGAGGTTTAACGGTTATGTTTGAAATAATGAAAACATATGGTCATACATATGAAAAGCATTGGTGGCAGGATTTGTTTCGAATAGTCTTCCGAATATTTGACAATATGAAGTTACCAGAACAGCAAACAGAGGTAAAAATAACATAAGAGCAGTTCATTTTTTATTACTATTAACCTTTATGTTCATGTTGCATTTTATACCCATAAGCTGAGCAGGGAGCTGTCTGTATGATATCCATTTTTAAATTCTACTTCATGCTATCTTTATTGGCATGCTTTATATAAAGCTCTTTTCTGCATAATGGATGATTTTGAGTACATAGTCATGTACTAAAGCTTTTTGTAGATTGAATTGTTATAGGAATGATCATTTTCTTTCTACATTGTTTTGATCCTTGTTCAATTCCTGTTTCTTCTGTTATGATTAGTTACTCATGCAACCAACTTAGATATTTTTAAGAATATCATGCAAAAGGAATCATCAGGATGTTTTAGCTTCAGGCAAAAGGAATCATTTGGATATTTTAGCATTAAAAGGAAGAGAAAATGAAGACAGACGGTTAACAAGGGCCAGTAGTGAAGATGCATTGATTTTTATTGTTAGGCCATGTCAGTTAAAAGTGAACTAAAGTGTTGAGTTGGAATTTGACAAAAATGATATTTTGAAGAGATACTTAATTGTGCTATTTTACAACTGGATGCTTATTATTTGGCAAAACTTCCATATGTAACTCCTTTTGTGATAGCTGTTCATTTCATAGAAATTATAATTTACATTAAGTTAAAATTAAGAAGTTATCTCTGTGTGAGGTTGATTGTTCAAATGAAGTCTGAAGCTTCATAACTGTTTGTTAGGGATTTGGGAATTAACCCCTAGAAGAGTATTGCAGCAGTAG